AATAAATAAAAAGAGATAAAACACTAAGAAAAATTCTAAAAGAAAAACAAGTAAAAATGTTCAATGAATATTAATTACTAAAAATATTTTTATTTTTTTTTATCATGATATTGGCAGTACTAATTGAACCAGTGAATTTATTTTTATATACAAATTTTTTTAAACTATTTTATTCTTATAACAATATTTAAATTACTTTCTCCAATATTTTTATTCAATTTTGTTTTTTTTGTATAACACTATAAGTATTTTATTAATTATTATCTTTTATAGTTAATTGTGTTAGGTTGTTTTAAGGTGTGGTTGAGAGACCCTATGAATTAAGGAAATATCGATAAATTTTTGGATGTTTCAGAGGATTTTTTTGGCTTAAGTTTAGTTTGATCCTGAGGGGGAAATAATACAAGGTTTTTCTTTTATGTATCTTAATAAAGACATCTATCTACACCATATGACTAACATAAAAGTTTACTCAACTATAGCATCTTACAACTTATATAACTTAATCATCATTTAACTTACAACTTAATAGCATAACATCATTATATAGTATATCAACTAAGAATATCATAAATTATCATCATATCATCTCACCATAAAACTTAAAACATCACTAAAAGTCATGCAACTTATGCTCGATGCCATTCCCTAGGCACTTGATGCCATCCCCTGAGTGTCTGATGTCATTGAGGCATGGGGTTCCCTATCATATGTATAATCAACTCATCATATGCATAACAACTCAACTACATGCGTCATCACATATTCAACTCAGAAATATTTTACAATGTAGGTGAGTAATTTAAATGACTTGAACTTATCGAACCAACAATGTGATCTTTTTACACATGCTAGATTAACAACCAATTTGGATGAAATCCACAACATGGTTTCTCGGATTTTTCCACTTAAACTAGGAAGGTCTAGTATTCCTATCAGGGTATGATAACTTAGGTGCGAGTCTATCACAATGTCATCATGCATAACTAAGCCTCCTTTGGATTATCCTGTCGACTATCCTTTAAATACTACGTTCCTTCTAATATTTAGAGATTTTGGCCCTTGACCTTGTGTCTTACTCGATTTGGTCACTGTATATGCATATGACTTGACTTGACCTCCATACAGATCAACAATGATCACTTTATAATTAATATATCCTGACCTAACCCCTATACTATAGTCATTTATAAATGGTATGCCTCAACCTTACCCATATACCACATCATTAAAATTCCTAAATGAGACTCAACTATCCACTTTAAAAGTCAACTACTCAATAAGGGTTTTCAATAGTTGGCTCGTAGAGTGCCACAAAAATATCTCCACAATGAGATATTTGACTTTTGAAAACACTATTTTCTCTAGTTCTAAGCCAATTGACATAACACACCTTAATACCTTAACCATTTTCAACACTATCGCCTCAACATTGCAACAATGTAATCATCAATGTACATTATCCTAAATCAATATATAAAGAACTACCAACATATATTGACATACAACATATGAGATATACATCTACCAACTACGTTACAATGTTATCAACCAAACAACATAATTTCATAAGACAACCCATGCCTGACACCATTCTCCCTACGCCTAGTGTCATTGAGGCAGAGAGCTCTTGAGCTCACCCATGCCCAATGCCACTCAACCTACACTCGAGATGAATGAGGTAGAGAACTCTTATGACAATCACACATGCGTTGCTAAACTCATGCTCAACCTCATTTCAGGTAGAGAGCCTCTACTTGACTCATGCTCGATATCATTGAATTGTGGTACTGTTTAGGCAAATAACCTCTATCTTGATAACACTGGTTGTTACTCAACCTAGGTTTGATGTCACCAAGTCAAAAAGCTCTAATTCCTTGATTAGTGCCATCAACTCACATTTAATGTGACCAAGTTAGAGATCTCTTCTCAAACTCACCCCAAATGCCCACCAATCTTGTGCACAATTTTACTGAGGCAAAAAGTCTTTAACCCACGCCACACTTGACATGATGGTGAAATCTACATTTGGAAAAATCACGAATTGGCCCAAACTACCTAAAACTCAAAAGAATCAAATAATGAAATACTACAAATCATTCATAAGCATTATAAACAAATTGAACTAATCAAATTATCAACATGCAACCATTAAATAGCTCAATTCTATAAATCTTTCCAAAGGCACCAAAACCTCAAGAACCAAAAACCCAATTCACAATTCAACAACAACACAACCACCTGAATATGTAATTCAATCAATAACATGAGTGGAAGTTAACATGGATAACACGAAATCAATAAAGATCAAGTCCTAACATGTCCTTTACCTTTGAATCAAAGAGAACCTAGGAAGAAGGAGAAGAAAGAAATAAGCTCTGCTCTACACTAAATTCGATTCTTAGCCAGAAGCTTGAATCACACAACTATACTTCACTCAATTGCAAAGGAAGGATCAAAGGTCATTGTGGAATTAGAAGGAAATAGAGTCACTTATGGTTGCAAAGCTTCTCTCTCTAGACTATCTTTCTAAGATTTTTCTAAAATGAATTTATGAAACTCAAATTTTAAAGAAAATTTTATATATTTTTCCTTTTCAATTCTCGTGACTTTTTCTAATTACACAACCTTGATGTTTTTCAATCGATTATCTTGTTCAAAGTTTATAAGAAACTAATAATGAATGATTTGATATATTAAAGTAATCTTGTAATCTATTTAAACAATATTAATATGATATTATTCAAAGGATTAAGTCTTGAAATCTAATTTTAACAAATCGAAATCATTGACCCCAAAAAAATGATTTAAAAAAAATCGAAATCATTAATTAGTCAATACTCATTTCATTTGTTCCTAACCAAAACAATATTATTAACTTCCGAGTTTTAATTAGGTCAATTAACACTGAAAAGTTTATCGATTTATTTCTTTAAACACTGATCACAATGAATTTTAAGGGGATATAGACATATTTGAATACCATCTTGATCACGAAACTGAGACACATACAAGAACATAACAAAACATGTAATCCTAAAAATATACAAGTTGTTGAGATTTTCTAAATGAGGTGGATTGTCTTCGTTAAAACTTCTTCAATAACTTTTACATGTTAGTTATCCTTAATTGAATTAATAAAGTTAAATATATTTTTTTTATTCCACTACAAGTATCTAACAGTTCATTAAGTTTGAGATTAATTCCACTTGAAGTAAGATAAAACTAAATAAAATAACATTAGTTATCGTTATTCAAATTATTTAACATATCATGAAACAAAGCAAAACCTATCTAGTGTATTTTATTATATTTTAAAAACTTTAATTTTATTAATTTCCTCCTAATTTGGGGAATATGCTTACCATTTCATAATCTTTGTACATACTGTTTCTTCTTCGATTCTTTAATTTACTTCATTTTATCAATTAATAAATAATTACACCATTCATATAATGTTTTATGACTTTTTAATATTACTGTTTCTTTTACCATCTATTATCACATTAATTTAAATATTTTATTACACGTACACTTTTCTCTCCTTTTATATATCAATTTCTCTCCGTTTTACAAAATGTTATACAAAAATAAAGTTCAACAAATTAACATTTCTCTTGTCAAAATACTCCTTATTGCTTCATTTTTATCACGCAAAGCAATGAACAAAAACTGTTTAATTAATTTCTCTTGAGAATCTTATGGTATATTTTAGTTTCTTTTAGTTATTTTATAGACAACATGTAGTCATATATACATTTTTTTTAATGGAAGTAATTTGTTTGAGTGAGTAGTAAATACAGGTAGAAAAACCCTAACCCTAAATATTTAACACAATCATATATTAAGACATATTCAAAATTATTTATTAAGTTGTAGCGAATAATTTAATGAGCATTATTTTTTTTTTTCTTTTTTCTAAAAGGTGGTGTAGAGGGAATGAGGATCTGGCCAGCGGTATCATTCCTGATGAGTACAACGAATCATGAGGATGCCCCAATTGACCAATTTCTTTCCGCAACACCCTCCGTTAACTGTTATCCCATTGGCTCTATGCCTTTAACAGCCACTTCTACATTGCATTAGCTTCATCCAATTGGTTATAGAGTAATGATACTAATATTATAGAGTAAGTGCACATTTCTTGTTTTCAACATTTCTTCTCAAAAATCATTGTCATGAATCTATTATATAAATATATAATCTCTTCATCTATTTAAATAGAAAGTAAAAAAAAAAAATTATTATGTAATCTCGTTTCATTACGTATTTATAGTCTTGACTAATATTTATGCAATATATATTTAAATATTTTAGTTACATGAAGAATTAATATCACTTATAAAAACTACTTGAACTAAAAAAATCTCAAACACTTAATAATTTATTCACAAGATATAGGTGTTTATTATTTTTTTTTATAGACCACAATTATGTTTTAAGGTAGATAATATACTCAAACTAGCATAATTATGAGCTTATTATTGAGCACGTGAATCAATTAATGTAAGATTGTTTTAGTTTAATTACTAATTTTAAGTTTAAGTCTAAAATATGGAATCATATTAAATATTTAAAAGAAGAACTTTGTCACTTATAATAATCATATCTAACTCGTACAATAATGTTTTTAGTAAAAGATTTTTGAGACTTAAACACAAAAACACATACTCATCATTATTAGAATAATTTCATACTAATTAATACTTAAAGAATATTAGTAAATATCTTTGTGATACTCTTTAGTTTGTTAAAATTTATTAAATTGTAAATTTTGCAAGCTTCGGATTTGATTCAGTAAGTATCTCATAATTTAGTAATAAGGTTTATCAAAATTTATAATTTTTAAGTTAGAAAGAATATTAACGAAATTCTTACTAGAATGTTTCTAACATTTTTATTATGCAATAGTGTCCAAGTTACAGGTTTTGACCGTCATTATCCTTGCTTATATAAGGGATGAGCGGGGTTTCCAAACTTGATATAAAAAACAGAGTAACTCTGTTACTCTTGTATCCCTCCACACACCCAACACTTTCAATGGATTGTTCTTCCATTCTTCAATCTTCAAATTCTTCACTCTCCTCAGAATCCTCATTGGGGTCCCCTCATCACCACCTCCCCTTCAACGAAAACGATCCCGAGGAGATGCTTCTCTACGGCATGATCACATCACACCAAGAAGGAACTCGCCCACGCAAAGTAATCAAAGAAGAGGAGGTGAACTCCAACAACAACAAACACAATAACAACAACAATAACAATAAGAGCTTCCGCGGCGTGCGGAAGCGGCCGTGGGGGAAATTTGCGGCCGAGATAAGAGACTCCACCCGGCACGGCATGAGAGTGTGGCTTGGTACGTTCGACAGCGCCGAAGCCGCGGCGCTGGCGTACGACCAGGCCGCATTCTCGGTTAGAGGCTCTAACGCCGTGCTCAATTTCCCCGTTGAGAAGGTGAAGGAGTCTCTAAGGGACATGAATTGTAGCCAAGATGGGTGCTCCCCCATTGTGGCTTTGAAGAGGAGACACTCCCTTGGACGCAAAATGGCTGCCAAAAAGAAGAAGGAGGAAGAAGAGAGTGATGGTGTTAGGCTAGAGAATGTGGTTGTGTTGGAGGACTTGGGGGCAGAGTATTTGGAACACTTGTTGATGATGTCCTCCAATGATACTAGATGCACTTGGTGAATTGTGATACCAAATTGTGTTATGTAGAACCATTGTTTAATCTTTGATATATGCTTTGCAGCAATGCTGTCTTAATTTTAATTTTAGGAAAAAACCAATTAGTTATTAGTCTTATAGTTTTAGTCAAAATATTATTAAGGTTCTTCTACTATCGTATCAACGAATATAATTCTTAAATTTTGAAAAATGTATATTTAGTCTGTTTTGTCTAAAGATCCATCACGTGTTTGAAAGTTAGAAGATACTACGTTCTTTTTTTCTTTTTTCTTTTTTTAATTTCCCTCAAGTTTGAGGACTAAATTTATCGACACGAAAGTATAAGGACTTCACTATGTTTAACCAAAGTAAATGTCTAAAAACCTAGTATAACTTTAAGGTAATTATGGTTATTAAACGGAACCCAGAAGTATATTTGCAACGAGGTATCCCTGTAAATCCCATGTCATATGTTGATTTGTCCTTGTATTTTGTGATTATCAAATACAATGATTGATCTCCATTAGATTGGAATCGGAGACCGTAAACATATACAAAATAAATACCACTTTTAATATAATTTTATACTCAATAGTTGAATAAGAATCTTCAACAATTTGATTAATAAAATACATATTGCTACTATTTATGTCAATTTGGACGTTGATAAACAATTTATAGATTAATGTAATGTTTAAAAGATGTAATTTACTCTCTAACTGCAAATTATGTAATGGACTATTTTTTTTTTCCGCCGTCTTGTGTCGTTTATGTAAAGATGAACAAATAAAGGATATAGCACTACTTGTGTCTGAATATTAGTTACAGTACATCAATTTTCTGTCTCTTTCGGATAAATACATAAACAAGGGCTTTAGAAACACATTATTATAAAAAGTCATTTAATAAAATTAGAAACTCACCAACTTATATATTTCAATTTTGACTCGCTAAAAGAAAAGTGTGTTCAAATGAGTGTGGTTCTACCATTTCTTGTTTACAGATAGCTGTTTGTTTTAAAATGGTCGTAAGAGATTAATGTATGCAATATATTTCCTATACCGAAAAAGTTGTATAATATATTTTAACACAAATGAGCTACTCAAATTTTTAAAGACCATTGACATCAGCCACTTATCTAAAACGTTTACTATTGTTTTTTAGACTTTTATGATATGTTTGGGAAGTTTTTAACAAGAAAGATCAGATAATGTTTTTACTTCTAATAAGTATTCTTTAAATAATATAAATCTTTTTAAATGATAGATTAACATAATTATATATATATTATAATTAATTCAGTTTGAAAAGAAAAAAATCATTTTTCTCTTTTTAAAACTCTTTTTTCTTTTTCTGTAAATATATTATTATGACAAAATTTATTAACTTCACTGATTGAGAATTTCAATACTTAATTCGTTACTTTTAAAGACTAATCTCTTCCAAACTAATATCTTTCAAACTTATAAACTTTTCAATATTTTAGTTGTCTTTCTTCATTTATAAACATGGATAAGAATTAAAAGACGGTTAAACTTAGCTGTGTCAGACTTTTTGTTGGTATGTAAAAAAGATATAATAAACTTTATAATTAACAATAACTTTTAAAATTAAAAGGAAAAAATTAATTAAACATTCATCAGGAAAAGAGAGTACTTTTCTAAATTAAATTAGTTAACGAGACTGTTCATTTAGTTCATATTACATTTTTAGTCAATATGGATGGTCGAAATTTTCACGACTTATAGCCACGTGTAGCCATGCAAGGGTTTTTCTTATGCTTTTTAGCGTCACATTTGTCTTCAGGCGTGCGAAAATTCAGACTTTTGGCATGGCAACAATTTTATGCAGCAATTTATGGTGAAGTAAGAACAAGAAAAAGAAAAGAAAAGTGTTTTTATGTGATAATTGTATGACGATAATGATGAAAAAAAGTTATCACAAAAATTCCAATTAATGTTTGATCGATGAAGCAAGATATATGACCCCATTGATTTGACACTTGTATATTTTGACATGTTATATGCTTCTTTTCATGACGAGTATGACAAGCATAGGTATCATTAATCTTCTCTATATATCTGGTTGTGTTCAAAACAAGTGGCATAGCTAGCTTGCCATGGTAGGAGGCTAGGTTTGTCTCGTGATCATAACTATAACTAATTATTTGCAAAACAAAGACTAAGAGCACGTTGGTGAGATAGGGACCCAAGTACCAAAATTTTACTTGCTGAAAAGGGAATTAAAAACAGAAAAAGAAAAGGAGAAAAATATTAGTATGTCATCATAGAAAACGAAAAGGGAAAGTGGAAGGAAAGAGCGTTATTAAGTTGGTGGGATGTCTCAAAATGTTGTCAAACCCAAACCTCGTAAGTTTAATATTAAACTCTTGGCCAACTTTTTGAGTCCAACTTTGAAGCCAAAGAAGCTTCTTCTGGCAATTGATTGTTGTTGGTTTAATTGAAATGGTTGGATACTTGGACCAGAATCCGAAATCCTGTGACTTCATTTGAATTTTAATCCTCACGTGGGGTTGGCTCGATTATTCTATTCCTTTTTAATGGTTTAACATTTTCTCTTGGTTTCTTGTTTCAGTGGTCTTAAAATGGGAAATATCAATTTTGTTGTCTGAGAGGAAACTTCCTGGATTTCGAGAACTAACTAATTAAACTAGATCTAATCTGGCATGCCCTCTATCCGTGATTTTTTTTTTTCTCCCAAATTCCCAATAAGTTTGAGTCATTTGACATATGACACGTTTTTGAAGAAATATACTAAGGGCAATATCCAAAACTAAATTTCACATTATTTAATCTTGATGATCTCCTCAAATCACTTCCTCTTGGAAAAAATATGTATAAGACGTAATTTGGAAAATAGTTTTCATCAGTTCACTGCCTTATTAGCCCAATCTTTTGGTGGCTAAATGATTGTCAAAGTAAGACTTATATAAGGGCCTAAATGATTGTCAAAGTAAGACTTAAGGGGCCAAACTATAGGTCGGGTCAAAACTCCAACTAATCTTACTTAGATGAGGTTTAGTATAATATTTTTTTTTCTAAATAATGAAGTTTTATCGTCACTATGTACCTTTTTTATAATTAAAGATATACTTTTGTTAAAAAGACTTTTTTAGTCTATAATTATAACATTCATTAGATTTGACGTCTCAATGACTTTATTCCACATTAATTTACATATAATGACATTTCACATAACTCTTTGTTAGTCAGAATCTTTAACCAATCAGAATTTTTCGTAGATAGTCCTTTTTGAAATGCCTGATCATCTCTAGGATCAACGACTGTTCTAAAAAACAAACAATATTTTTTAAATGTGCTTTGTCCTCAGTCGCACACTTTTTTAAAAACTTCCTAAAAGATCATTCATCCCTAAATTGTTTCAAGCCAAACATATTTCATCATGGAGTTCTTAAGTGATATGCTAATGAAAAATAGATGCATCTTTTTTATATAGGTAGTAGAAATTAACTCCCTCAAGTCATATTCAATTATATAATCTCACACTTGTACAAATCTTTGCATCCCTATCATTTTGATGTGTTTGGGTTATTATAAGCCCACAAGCTTCCGCTTGGTTCATCCTCAAATCACATTGTATTGGGTGAAAGGACTTGTTCTGATACTATTTGTAACACTCTTTAGATTTGATGCTTTAGTAGCTCCATTCCATGTCACTTTAAACAGTGACACTTAACACAACTCCTTGTTGGTCAGAACACTTCACCAATCAAACCCTCTATAGGTAGCCCTTTTTGAGATGCTCGATCACCTCTAGGATCAATGATTGTCCCCATAAACTAATACAAGACTTTTCAACGTACTTTATCCTCACTTGCACACTTTTTGGGAAACTTCCTAGAGGGGTCACCCATCCCTAAATTGCTCCAAGTCAAACATGCTTAACTATGAAGTTCTTAAGTGATGAGTAATATAAAAGTAGATACATTTTGTTGGTATAGGTAGTATAAATTAATTCCCTTAAGCCATCCTCAACTATACAATTTCACACATGTACAAATTTTTAGATCCAATTCATTTCGACGTGTTTGGGATGTTACAAGCCCACCAACTTTCACTTGGTTTGTCCCCAAATCACACTGTCTTGGGAGAGAGGACCTGCTTTGATACCATTTGTAACACTCCCATTAGATTTGACGTCTCAGCAACTCCACTCCATACTACTTTAGATGGTGACACTTCACACAACTCCTCATTAGTCAGAACCCTTCACCACACAGAACCCTTTATAGGTAATTCTTTATGAGATGCTCGACTACCTCTAGGATCAACGTCTATCCCAGAAACCGACACAAGACTTTTTAACATACTTTTTTTTTCATTGAAAACTCTTTTTGGGAAACTTTCTAAAAGGTCACCCACCTCTAAATTGCTTTAACCCAACATGCTTCACTATAGAATTCTTAAGTGATGAGTTGCCGAAAATTAGATATATCTTATTAGTATATGTAATACAAATTAATTCCTTTAAGTCACCCTCAATTGTACAATCTCACACTTGCGCAAATCTTTGGATCCCTCTCATTTCGTGTGTGTTCGGATTATTACAATAATTACTCTCAACTATGTAAAATGCGTTGGAACCTCTAGTAACTGGTTCGTAGTAAAACAATGAAAAATAGATTAAAAAAATAGGAAATCGCTACTAATGTTTATTTTAGGAAAAACATTGGAAAAATTCATAAAATAAAAAGTAGTTTGTGAAAATATATTTTGGGTTTGGAAATCAGTTACATTTAAGAGAAGTATTAGCACCCTACAACATCCATCATAAAGGCAGTTATCTCTAATTAATCAAACAAACTATTTATAGTTTTTAAAAAATAATTATCTCACATCAAATTTAACCATGACAATAACAATTATGTTTATTTTTAATGAAAATTAAAATCATTTTTTTATAATTGTTATGAGAAAAGTGTTAATATTATTACTTTACTTTTTGACTCCACAAAAACGATTTTCCTGCTCCTAAAGCCTTATGCAAGCTCTCCCAAAATCTAGAGGTAAACCTAGGGTCTCCATCAAAAACTATGCTAGCTAGAACCCCATGTAAGCTCACAATCACAACTATGTACAACTTAGTCAACTTCTCTAAGGGATATCTAATGTTGATAAGGATAAAGTGAGTATACTTAGC